TATTTTATCACAGAATTTCATTTGTCTGCATTATGAAAGATAAGTTGAGGGTTCTTCACTTCTGATGATGCACTTTTGTCGGATTCTCAAAAAATACAGTACTTCTGGAGAATCCAACACACAATATTGACATTTTTGACGAGCTTGAGCCACATAAATGGGAAGATACATAATTTGATATCCCAATAACACTGTCTTTTTTTTCATTTTTTGACAAGTTTCAAACTAATATTACCTTGTAAGTCATACATGGGTCATTTCTTTTGATGAATATCTTGGAAATAAATTATGTAAGTTAAAGTGCATTCAGAATGATTCCTTCACTGAACAATATAACGCTGACCATTTTCTTTGATTGAGGACTTTCCTTTAGACATTGAAGAAGGAACATATGCTAATAACTTATACTCATCAATCTCAAATTTACAGTCTGATATTCTCCTTTCAGATGACCCAAAATTGTGGTCCATTTCCTTGAACAAATAATCATTCAGTCAGAGATAATTTAGGGCATCATTTAGAATAGATAGTAGGAAAACAACAGGGAATTTCTGCAGTAAATAGGACAAAGATTTACAAAGAACACGACCAGTTTAGGTTAATAGTGTAATAAATTCCTAGAGTTCATTCCATCTGCATCCTTTAGCTTTCCAGAATTAGAGAACTAGTCATGTCCAGAAACAGTTTCAAAGGATTTTTCTGTAAAATATGGGGAGTACTCTAAATTGACTTATACACATATAGGATATACATATATAAGAGACAGAAGCCTTTCTGTTAACAAGCTATATATTAAGGAGGTGAAGGAGCATCCAGGTGGTAAGCTTGACCCCTGGAAGCAGATTTGGAGGAACAAGGTGCCAACCAAGGTAAAGTGTTTCTCTTGGTTGGTTGCCAGAAGAGCATGCTCCACTCGTGAGAAATTGAAAAGGAGGGCTTTCTATATTGCCTCTTGGTGTTCTCTCTGTAATGAGAAATGAGGAAACCAACATTCATCTGTTCCTCCATTGCAAAGTGACAACACAATTGTGAAACCTTTTTCTGGGACCAACACATACAGATATGCCTGAGCATACAGCAGATCAACTTAGTTGCTAGATCAGCAGAGGGGGGAGAAAATGGTAAAGTATAATATCATCATGCATTTGGTGGTGTATTTGGAAAGAAAGAAATAGCATATGCTATGATAACAAAGTTGATTCGATAGAGAAAGCCAAATGGAACTGCTTGACTACTTTTATTTTTGGTGTAAAGAGTAAGGGATAGAAGAAGCTGCACAAATTTGGATTTTACAGGCTCTTTGTAATTTATAAGCCTTTTTGTTTTTTCTTTATTGGAAACCAATTTTTGGAGGTCTCCAGCATTAAGGATGAATACAAAATTATCTTTATAAAAAAAAATATATATGAAAATTTTCAAGGATGGGAACATTTGGGGATAAAAGGAGTACAACAATTCTTAGGACTCCTACAATTTGTTCCATCTCCATCCTTTAATTTCCAGAATTTGAAAACAAATTATATCCACGCAATTTCGAAGGAATCCTATAATGGGGAGTACACTAACTTATCTTGCACAGACATACACAGATACACATATAACAAACATGCATACATATATAAGTGTGTTTGGGGAATACATTACTCTTTTTCTGTTCTGCACTAAACAATGGATTTCCGGATACAATTGGGATGACACTATCTTGGTCATAGTTTTATAGAACAATGCAACAATCGAAGATTAGGAGGAAAAAAGAACTTGTATTCAGTAAACCCAGAACATGCACAACTGAGTAATAAACTTGAATACTCACGTGGAATCACGCTTATTCCTCCAATACCGATTTATGCTATTTTTGAAGTAGACGGATGCCAGTAATCGAACATCCACTTGAGACGCCAAGTCCTTAGCAGTAATCACTTCCTACAATGTTAAAAACATCACCTTTCCGCAACTTATCATTCAAAAACCCTAAAATAAGAAAATCAAATGTAAAAAAGAGGGAAAGAATTACCATAAGACAAGAACAAAAACCCGGCCGGTTTTCTGATTGAGCTAGGGCTGCTTCAGCTGGTTTACGCACGCTTTGTTCGCCGCTGAGTGAATTTGTCAGCAACGAATACATCGCTGGCAGGTCGGAGGCTGATAAAGCCATGGCTGAACCAATCGGATGAGTTCAAGCACTGAGTAGAATCGTTGAGTCAAGCAGCAGCGGAGCAGAGGAGGGAGAAAATGGAAGATTTTGCGGAGGATTTGGATGGAAATGGCGATTGCTTAGCGATCTGATAGGAATGGAAATGCAGGAGAAGTTCACTGTATATAAAATGGAGAAGAAAATGGAAAGAAGTTTGGAGTTTTGTTAACCTCTTCCCTATTTGGCATGGTCAGAGGCTCACACAGCTGAACTTCTATATCTGTTTCTTTTCTTTTTTTGATCTTTTTGTTGAAAGTGCTCCATAGTGATGGAGTTTAAATATGGAGAAAAGAATTACAAATTGTAAAATTAATATTAGGTTAATGTTATAAAATGAGAGGAAAAAACAGTACATATAAAAATGCTAAATAAGAATTAAGCATCAAATCACGATAAAATAAATGCTATGATTTTTTTTTATTATCACGTGGACGAAAGACATATAGTTAAATATTTCACCGTGAAAGATCTACTTGAATTATGAATATGTTTAAAAGACTGTATAAGTAATATGACCATTTTAAAAGCAACAAAATTGTCAAAGACCACAAGTGGGTCATACATTGCGATATCGATGTTGTTAAGGAACATTCCTCCTCTCTTCTTTTCATTGCCTATGAAAGATAAAGATGTTGTTTTGACGCAGAATGAACAATTCATTGTGTGTGCCTTTAATATAGTTATAAGTGTATGAAAAGAATTATTTTATGCATAACCTTAGGCTGACAGTTATAATGTTTTATCTAAATATTTAAATGCACTATTTTTATGATGTTCGTGGTAAAGTATTCACCAATCACTACAACCTACAATATTTATTAAGAGGAATCTTAATCTGAGATAACACGAGTGAATAGAACTACGGAAAGAATATACTTAAGTGACTATCTTATATCATTCAAATAAGATTAATTTGATGGTTGATGTGTTGGATAGGAAGTTTAAAAGCATGGATACCCTAGCTTGTTTAGAAGTTACAAAGTATATATTAGTTCGAGAGGTTCAGACTTGAGCTAACAATCTTAATTACAAAGCTTGAGTTGTCAGGATCCTATGGGGTATTGGTTCGTATGCAAGTTAAAATTTTCTTTATGGATCAGATCAAGGATAGCTAATTTGAAGATATTCAAGTTCAACACAATTTATGAAAAGGTCTTGCAAGAAAAAACAAAAGAGTCAATGATTGATGGTGAAGGTGTCCTAAGGGGAGTGTGTGTTCCACGTGTTAATGAACTAATCAAAAACTATTCTAATTGAGACTCACATTTCTAGATATTTTATACATTTTAGATGTATCACGATTTGAAACAATATTATTGATAGGGTAAACAAAGTGAATATTTTAAGTTCATTGCAATATTTGAATTGCCAGTAAATAAAATAGGAGTACCAGAAGCTTCAAAAGAAGCTCATTCTTGAACGGAAGTAAGATAGGATATTGTTGGATTCTATACAATTTTGATGATTGACATAAGCATGTTAGTGAAGCTGGTTAAATAATACTTTGAAGCTTAACTACAACACAAAAGAATTAAGAAGTTTGATTTAAAGAAAGAGACTAAAGTGACAAGAGATTTGAATAAAAGAAAGAATCTCACTCGAGGTAGAACAAATAATACATAGAATTTGAGTTAAGATGTAGTTTGAAGTAAGGAACAACTCTTGCTTAAATATAGTGAAGTTGTTCATAATTCATGTGCACCTATATAGAGGGAGTATTACTTTTTGTCTCCTTCATTATCAGTGCATAAACTTGTTCAAGATATCAAATCTGTGTTCTTTGAGGCTTTTTCTTAGGGAGGAGACTGATGAGCAAGATTAGAAGAGAGAAAGAGGTGAGCGAGAGAGGGCAGAAATTGAGGTATATGTGAATTGTATAAGTGTATCGATTCGATAATTATATACATGTAACTACTGTGTATATATATATATATATATATTAATTATTGTATTTGTATAACTGCATACAATTTGGAGGAGAGAGAGAGGGTAGAGAGTAATGGAAAGAGGTGAATTGTATATATATGTATCAATTACATAATTGTATATATGTAACTATTATGTATATGTATCAATTATTGTATTTTTATATCTGCATACAATTTTATCGAGTTAAAACATTTGAATTTGTATTTTGCATACAATTAAATCGAGTTAAAATATTTGAATTTGTATGTTCCATCTCTCTTTGTATAATTTGTGTTTGTATAAAGTGTGAGAGATAAAAAAAAATTGAGTAGGAAAAGATTGTATTTACATAATTATAAGTGTATACAATAAAAACATATATATTCGTATTTATATATCACGCATCTCTCGCTTCATACAAACACAAACTATACATTTGTATTTGTATAAAGTGAGAGAGAGACTGGGATATAAGAGAAGATAGGGTAGGGAGAGATGATTGAAAAGAAAAGGAAGAGAGTGATGAGCAAAATTGGGGAGAGAGGTCAGAGAGGGAAAGAAAAAGAGAGGAGAGAGCAAGAGAATGTAACAATAATAACTAAAAATAAATTTCAAATTATGAATAATGCAGATTATAGCTATGTCAGATATTTAACTACTATATATTTAGTTAATCACATAATTTTCCCCTTTTTTTAATTAACTATCCAAATTGTTTCTGTCACATTGGAATCAAACTAAAATCAAAATAAATAAATATTACTTTTTACAACATAATGGAGAAATCTAAAATGTGATTGGCCAAAACTCGTGTAGCCATGTCACAAATGCCACGTCATCAAAAACTAGCCGAATGATCTGGAACCTTCCCCACCCCCCGCGAAATCTATTAAGACCAACTTCTTCTTCATCATGTATGTCTCTCAAATTCACTACTACGATTTCTGAAGAACAATCGACCCGACAAGTTGTATTTGGATCCTAAAAATCGACGCGAATATGAAGACTCGACAAATTTCGATAGTCATTGTTCTATGTGCATCACTCTTTGTTCTTAACGTACAATCTAAAACCGTTGATCCTTATAAGGTATATATGATTCTCTGTTTCTTGTTTTTTCCGGTCTTAATTCATGTTTAATATATGTATTTTTTATATTGGCATGAATTAGGCACGAATCTAGTGGAATTTGAAACGGATATAGAGGATTTTAACTACATTGATTGAGCATCGATTGAGGGCTAATTGGTTTAAATTTTCACGCTGTTAGATTTTGAACTGATTTTGGTGATTGAGTTCTCATGGGGAGCCCGGTGCATTAAAGCTTTGGGCTTTGTAAGCTGGTCTATTATATGCAGTCTTATCTTGTATTTATTTTGTGGAAGAGCTGCTTTTGAACCCATGACAGCAACTTTACTAGCTATGCAAAGGCTACCCCTTTGGTGATTGAGTTGTCATGATGTTTTTGAATTGTTTTTGTTTTTATTTGTTCATAGGTTTTGTTTGGGGGTTTATTGGAATTGTTCTATTGAACTAAGTTTTTTTTTGTATATTAGGATAATGTTCTAATTGAGAAATTGTGTTTTGAAACTAGGAAATAGAGTAAATGAAGGATTGTCCCTAAAAAGGAAGGGAAGCAGACGTATTATTGATTTGACTGTGGAATAATCTGTTTTATGTGATTTTAATATTTTTGATGATAAGTAAAAGTTTAAGAGTGAGTTTAATGAGAATGTAAAGGGAGAAACTCCCAGAATGCTGATATGCATGATGGATTCTAAAAAAATAGTCACGATGCATTGTGTTCCATTGTTAACCCAGATTTTTTATCTGCTACTGCTGATACATACACCCATTTTTGTGGCACAAAGAGAATCAATGTAAAGAGGAACCACGAAAGTACTGTTTGAAGTTAGGTGTGGCAAGTACTATCTCTAATTGATCACTATGTTGATACTCTTCAAAATGGAGACTAAATGGAGAAATCATCTCATGTTTGCTAGTTTTAAGAAAATAAACCTGAAATATTTGGCATTGATAAGCCTAAAGACTTAATTACGTGACAGTTCATAATGCTCTATAGATCCTGAGTGTCCATATGCAGAGTGATTACCTCATCTTCCATGGTTAACAGTGATTTTGATTTTTTCCAGGTGCTTGGAGTTGATAAAAGTGCAAGTCAACGTGAGATCCAGAAAGCTTTTCACAAGTAAGTTCTGTACAGGGCTCATCTTTTTTCCATTATCATTTGTTCTTTAAATCTCAATGTTTGTGCTTTTGTTATTACATGCTTACCATACAGTAGTCAAGTTTCTCTTAGCCAAAGTTTGGCATAACTATATCAACTGTTATCCTATCTACATGTTTTACTGGAGGTTCTGCCATGATTGATGTCTCTTTGTTGGTAGGAATTACCTAACTTGAGGATTTGTAGGGGTGATGAGTATTTCCCAAGTACTTCTATTTTGTGCTTCAAACTTTCACATGTCTTGGAGTACTTGTAGTTTGGCCTTCGATTCTATTCATGTCTTACATGCTTCTGGGATGAAACCCCTACAAGTGACACACCAAGAGAGTGCAGAGTATATGTAAATTTCTGGACTCTTAGTGATTATAGAAAAGCAGGACTCTTCATAACTTTAATATTACTGTTTTCCGAAGGATCCAAAATCTTAGGGCTGCAATAACTGGATGTTTTCGTCATAAGCTAAGAACTTTGATTGAAATATCAAAGGCAAAAAGTTTGGACAAGTGCTAGGCGTTTAAGTGCAAGCACAATAATATTGAATGGAAAAGCAAAAAATGTGGATGCAGTGTAAGGAAACAATATAAAGACAAATATATAAATTTGATAAAGAATAATATTACTATATCGCTAGACAAAGTATGTAGAGTAAAAAAATCATGTAGAGTAAAATATCATATAATATTTAATTATCAACCATTTCATTTTTTTTGTTTAGATCTAAAGAAGTAGTTTTAGGTTCTCATTAACTAGTTCTAATGGTAAATCTTCAGTTTATTATTCATTATCGGTTTATCACTCAATCATTCATCCTAAAATTTCTGCTAATGATTAATAAATCGCTTTGCCAACTACATTGCTTCCCGCTTAAAGCAAAGACTGTACAAATAAGGCTCTTCCTTAGTTCCTTGGTGCTCAGAGGAGGAATGCCAAACTGAGATTTACCTAGCTTTCGGGATTAAGCCTACCTCAAACAAGCCCTCAAGAACATTGATTGAATTTGAACATAGCTTGTTTTGCCTGAGGACAAATGATCTTGTATTGATCAGTCTGATCCAATTGTTCTTAACTACTTATCCTTGTCATTGTCTTGGAATGGGACGGGATAAGTAGTTGGAAGTAAGACCTTAAATTTGAAGGAAAAGAAACATATTGACAATTTTTTCGATGGCCTCTTTACTATCAGCATGCAGTAGGTTACTGGATTTTCCTTCAATTTGGATCCTGCAATATAGAGTTGCAAATATGCTCATGGTCGATTAAATTCTAGTGGACCTTTGTATGAAGCTGGTTTTTTGAAAATTTGATTGTATTTAATTACTGATTTTTCAATTGTTGAACTTCTCTGCATTAGTTTTCCGGCAAATAATGTTCTGTCCTTTTAATCTTCTCCTTTATCCCTTTTCATTTTCAGGCTCTCACTCCAATATCATCCGGACAAGAACAAAAGTAAGGGTGCACAAGAGAAATTTGCTGAGATTAATAACGGTATAGCAGCTTCTGATTTCTATCTTCCTTTTCAGCACTCTGCTAATTAAAAAGAGGAAAGAAAAAAATTGTAGTTAAGGAAATTAGAAGAACTGCTTTGCTGTTTTTTTTTTTAAATTCTTGCTGAATTTATCATTAGAATCTGAGATCCAAAGATGAAATTTTTTTAGATCTTTCTTCAAGGTGCTAGGTAGGTTTGATTTTATCTAGGATCCAAAGATGGTGGTGATTGAAGGTTAAAACCCATACAATCTGAGTTATCTTGATGTGTGCAACTAGTTACAACATGCATTTTCTTTCTCTGTGTGTTTGCTTGTTTGATGATCAGTGTTATTAAGTAGTTGTATAATCTGTCTATCAAATTTCAGCTTATGAAATTCTGTCCGACGAGGAGAAGAGGAAAAACTATGACCTATATGGAGATGAGAAGGGAGCTCCTGGATTTGATGTTGGCAGCTCTGGAGATCACGGTGGATATACATACTTCACAAGTGGTGGACCAGGTCAAAGTGGGTTTAACTTCGGGCCAGGTGGTATGGGTGGACAAGGAGGTGGAAAATCATTTTCATTTTCCTTTGGCGGTCCTGGCAGCCAAAGCTCTTCTGGCTTTGGTTTAGATGATATATTCTCCAACATGTTTGGCAGTGGTATGGGAAGTGGGAGTAGATTTGGGGGTTTTAGTGGCTTTGGTGGTTCAGGCAAGTCTCAGTCTAGAACCAAGAACTCTGGCAAGAGCATCCCTTCCATAAACTCGCAGTTGTATAAGAAAGAAATATCTGATAAAGGAATGACTTGGCTATTACTCTCTCATACATCTATATCGAGAGATATCCAATATTATGAATCTGTCATTAGAGATGTTGCAAGCTCATTGGATGGGGCAATGAAGGTATGCATCCTTTTACTTACATCATAATACTTCTAGACTGTAGTCATTACTGTATTTCCACTGATGTGCTCTTACTGTGATAGGTGGGGAGAATAAACTGTGAAACTGATGCATCTTTTTGCAAGGGTCTTGGCATATATCCACGCAATGTGCCAAGATTGTTTGTGTATTCATTAAAATCAAGTGGGGATGGTGCGTTGATGGAGTACAGTGATGATTTAGATGTGAAGAGGGTGAAAAGTTTTTGCCATGATCATCTTCCTAGATTCTCAAAGCGTGTAGATTTGGACCACTTTGATTTTGTTTCCCAGTCTGTAGGAGGTTTACCCAAAGTGATGCTTCTCTCAGCAAAGAAAGATACTCCAGTTATTTGGCGTGCTCTTAGTGGATTGTATCGAAACCGTTTTGTCTTCTATGATGCACAGGTTAGAGTATATGACTAAATTTATCCGTATGAATTTTTAAATATTGTACGAACTTGAATTTGGATTTGAACATGACTGCATTTGTTCTTTGCAAGTTTTTTACTAAAGCCTGTGTTGTGTTTAATAGGTTCGTGATTCTTCTGATCCTGCTCTACGAAGGTTGGGTGTTGATGCTCTTCCTGCCATTGTTGGCTGGCTATCCAATGGGGAGAAACAGATTTTAAGCACAGGAATCTCTGTAAAAGATCTTAAGTCGGCAATTCAAGATCTAAGTGGTTTACTGGACAATTTTGAAAGAAAAAATAAGAAGGCAGCTTCAACACAGAGTAAAAGTGAGCAGAGTGAGTCAGAGGCTAAGCAAGTACCGGTACTGACAGGCTCTAATTTCAATGACATTTGTGGGGAGAAAACTCCTGTTTGTGTGATTGGTGTTTTCAGGTCATCTAAAGCAAAAGATAAACTAGAAAAAGTTCTATTATCGGTAAGTCGTCAACTGTATAGACTTTGTTCAGTGATTTATGATTTACTCTCCTCTGGTATGAAATACATCTGACTTAACTGATTTGTGGCTCAAATTTTGCCAACTTTAGGTCTCTCAAAAGTCATTATCAAGACGACAAAATACACCCTATGGCTCGAGAGATTCAGTTTCCTATGCAGTTTTAGATGCAGTGAGGCAGCAGTCTTTCTTGAATGCATTTGACAAATCAGGATATAAATCATCAGACAAGGTCCTTCTTGCATACAAGCCGCGAAAAGGTAAGTTTGCAGTTTATGAGGGAGAAATTACTGCTGAAAATGCAGAGAGTTTCATTAGCTCCGTTCTCAGTGGGGACGTACAATTTTCCAACACCAGACAGAAACCTGTAGCAAAGTAAAAAATTAGGAACCAACTTTAGTGGAAATGAACAACACTGAGATCTGGAAAAAATGTACAGCCAGTGCTTCAAGGTTGCCCCTTTATTAATAGTTCATGTAGCCCATCGTCATGAGCTGGAAGAAGTTGATTTAGCAGCAAAGTTGATTAACCATTGGTGGAGTAGGGTTCTCTTTCTTGGATTAGGAAAATGCACATAGCCGCAGCATACAATAGAACTGAACTTACATTATAGCATGTACGTTTTGCCAATGTTTCTATAGTCTGGTTTCTCAAGTTTGTTGCAATTTTTCATCTATATTATAATCTTATAATCAGACTAGTTAGATTTGTTACCTTTGTCAATGGATGAACTATCAATCAGTTTTCTGAAAGTTGTATTAGTTTGGTTTTTTAAGTTCTAAAAATAATCAACAAAAATTGGACTCAACCATCAAAATAATACATAGTTAAGAACTAAAATTTTACATACATATTGTATGTACTATGTAGAGGTGTTTGCCTTGAATTGAATATTTTGCTTTTACTGTCGAAGTTTGATTTGTAATTTTTGTTTCGATAATGTCAAGAGCTTACTGCATATTTCAAATAACTTGTTTTTGAGTCCGTTAATTAATCATTATTATTTAATTTAATATTATTGAGACATCTTGATATATTACAACTAAATCTTTAATTTTTTTCACAATAAATAAATCATTATATGCTACATTTTAATCGAGTATAACCTAATATAATGAATGAATACTCACTGTGTGAATTCAATTTTGTAGACTGATTTATAAGCTAAGGAGAATTTTTCAAACTAAAACAAATATTTTAGAATGTTGAAATTTGAGTAGTTTTTTTCTTTTTAAAAGAAAATTAAGTTTTGAATTTGAAAATTGAGTACACACATGGAAAATATGAAGAAAATATTACAAGAACTTAAATTGGTCCATAGAATTGTGACGCTAACTTGGAGCACTTGGAAGTTGTCCAAGAATTGGCAAAAGCCAATTCATCTGCCTAAAATTGACTTGGAAATTCACCAAGAATTTGTTGGAGGAGCAATTAATGGCCCTAACAAAAAAATGTGAGGTGCAATTCATATTGAGAAAATTTTGAGAAATAGCTAATATTAGGTTAATATTAATTAGTTCTCTTTACTAATATTTTGACTAACTATAGTATATAGTTGTGTTATTATTTGTTTCTAATATATTTAATGTATTATTAAGTTATCTTGAGTTTTATTGTATGTTTGGTTTGTCGTATTCAAACTTATATTCATTACATGATTCTTAAAAATAAGTTGTTTGTTTACGAAAATATCCCCCGCCTTATTAATAATTTATTTTAATGTTTAATTTGCAAGTATTAGTTATTCATTCTTACATAAAATTTCGTGGTATTTAGCTTAAATATTTTTGTGTTTTCATTTTTATGATTGTGTCTTGTGTTTTTAAAATTAAAACTTTCATGGTATTTAACTTAAAAATAAAACCTCATCTTATATATTTAGCTTAAAAATAAAACTTTCAATCTACGTTTATCAAACTAAAAGAAATTTTATTACTAAAATTATCTATATTAATTGATACATAGAATATAATTATTGAGTATTAAACTGTTACAATTCAAAGTATGTAATTTAGTAGCGAGAGAATATTTTAAAGAGAAATCAAAGTATGAATAAACATAAGAATTAGATAAATAAATTTAACTTATAAAAATTATATTTATAAATTTTTTCTAATAGAAGAATATATTTTCATAAGAACAACTTTTAATTAAGATTGTTAATGTTATTATAGTTATTAAAAATTATGTTCAATATACATGAATACAAAAGTGGTGTATAAAAGAAAACTGAAGAAGATATTTTTGTTATTTTACACTTATCCTAGGATTATTATTATTTCATCCGGGGGATAACTTATTTCAATACAATTTATTAATCCTAAAAAAGATTATCCTATTTCATCTAACTAAACAAGAAATTAAAAAATACTAAAATTCTATCTCATGGTAACTTTCTCTTTTCATCACACTAAACGACCCTATACAATAAAAAGTTCTCTTTATCTAAGAGAAGAGCAGAAAACCAATACCTGCCCACAATTTTGGTTTCATCCGAAAGCTAAGATAACACAGGGAGTATTCGATACGACAGAAACCATATTTTTTAATCTTTTCATGTTTGATTGATTAAATATTTTTTTAATAAAAAAACAAATTTAAAATTTCATATTCATTATATTTTTTTCAAACACACGTCATCTCCACCTCTATATCCCTCGTCCCATCATCGGACATATCCCATAGTATTTTCTAAAGTGAATGCAATTCCATTTGTTTTCGAACAAAACTTTTGACATGAAAGACTGTGAAATATGCTTTAATTAATTTGCCTTGGAACATAGGTCTAGAGCACTGACCACTAAAATCAAAATAAAAATAAATAAATGTCATCGATTAGCAGTAAAATTATTTCTAAAACAAAAAATTTAAATTATACCAAATTTTCAATCAGTATTATTAACTTAAAGATTTAAAAGAAACACCAACTAATTAATATATTTAAAAATTAAATTTAATAAATCAAATACGAGTGAGTTGTATATATTCTGATTTTGGCCTTTTTGTCTACAAGCGAGAATCTTGAATATTATGTGAGGGTATAAACAACAGCCTATTGAACGATGACACGTAGAGGATATGCATGTAAGACACGTGTAAAAAAATGCATTGACCTATAAGTCTAAACTGTCAAAATGGGGACTTTTTGGTGAGTGAAGAGTAAATGGTATTTGACGATGTATAAATATTTCTTCATTTTCAATCAAAATATTTCAGATTTTGTGTGTTATTTTTGTTAATGAACACCTTATTTTTAATATGAAATTTGAACAGTTTAAAATTTTTAAGCTAACCTTATTCCTGTATTTTGATGGATATGCATACATCAAATATTGCAGCAGGAAGTGTCTAAGCATATCGGAATTAAATTAATAGTGAGTGAAGATAAAATTCATATTTCTTATCTATATTTTAGTAAAATGAGTGAAAATTCAAGAAGAAATATAATTGTTCTAAAGGTACATGAATTTAAAGATGTAGATGCAATCGCAATTAAGAAAAAAATGTAAATTGCAAAGAAACAATGAAAATCAACGTCAAATAACTAATAACAAAATTAAAAATCGCAAAATATTAGTGATCTTTCTTGTCCTTGAGAAAAACTATAAATTAATTTAATTTTTCAGCTGTATTTGTCCAAAAAATATTATTTGCTAGTGTGACAATTTGAAAATATATTAACTCTTATATTTTTATCGTATAAAGGTAATTCGCTTAGACACACCAATAAAATTTTTAATTTGTATACTTTATTTTTCACGTGTTTACATCAATATATCAATTATATGTGGGAAATTTCTTACTAAGTTCATATATTTGAAATATCATTACAAAGCATGTCTTGGGTGAGATTTACAAGGATGTGTTACCTGATTTGTGGCTTGATTAACAACTCTTAGCCAAATCATATTTTTTATAAATAATGTGCTAATTTATCGCTAAATAGTATTAAGATAGAGTTTTTATTGTTTAATTAAGATAAAAAAAATTCTTTTTTCTTCTGCTCAAATTAATTTTCTTCATAGTGCATGCCCTTACCTTGAATCGTTCACCCATACTTTCAACAAATTTTCAATAAAAAATAATAACGATTAAAGTTTAATTAAATTCATAAATATAAATGTATGTTTTTTCTATGCATATTTCTCACTTCATCTGTACTTCTGCCCCATGCTAATAAATACTACTAAAATCTATAAGTTGTTAAGTAAACCTCTAATTATATAACTCCCTGAATCCGCCCCCTGTTTCTTCATAATCCAACACACTATATAACTCCCTCCATTTCTCACTCACAAAACAAATCAAATTCTTCATAAATAATGGACTTCAAAATCGACACTTGCAAGCCAATAAATGGCGACATAGCAAACGTACCAACCAATAAAGCTGTTACAATCCAAAACTCCACCATTCCATTCAATTCCCCTGACTCAACACTCGGCCGTCACCTTGCCCGCCGGTTAGTTCAGATCGGAGTAACCGACGTTTTCTCCGTTCCCGGTGATTTCAACTTGACACTTCTCGATCATCTCATTGCTGAACCTGAACTTAACCTTATAGGTTGTTGTAATGAGCTAAATGCAGGCTATGCAGCTGATGGATATGCTAGGGCACGGGGAATTGGGGCTTGTGTTGTTACGTTTACCGTCGGTGGATTAAGTATCGTTAATGCAATTGCTGGTGCTTATAGTGAAAATTTACCTTTGATTTGTATGGTTGGTGGACCTAATTCTAATGATTATGGAACTAATACAATACTTCATCATACTATTGGTTTACATGATTTTAGTCAAGAGCTTCGTTGTTTTCAAACTGTGACTTGCTACCAGGTAAGTTCATCAATTTTACGACTCCGATACAATAATTTATGTTAAAATCTCCGACACAGTTCGTTTGATTTTAATTTGCAGGCTGTGTTGAATAATTTAGAAGATGCTCATGAACTGATTGATACTGCAATTTCCACATCTTTGAAAGAGAGTAAGCCGGTTTATATTAGTGTAGGATGTAACTTGCCGGGGATTCCGCATCCTACGTTCAGTCGTGAACCAGTTCCGTTTTCCCTCTCTCCCAGGTAAAATATATGTACTACGTCTAGGAGGAGAAAATATTTACGGCAAGTGGTTCCATGTTTTGAGCTGGTTACACTATATATTGTGTTGTCCATGATGGTCGTTCATCATCCTATAAAATTCATCAGAATCAAATTCTGGCTTCGCCTGTGTGTTTAAGTATCCGAGTTTCTTATTTTGGTGTTATTGTGGTATAGATTAAGTAATATGATGGGGTTGGAAGCAGCAGTAGAAGCAGCGGCTGAGTTCTTGAACAAATCAGTAAAGCCAGTGCTTGTTGGAGGGCAAAATATGCGCGTTGCAAAGGCATGTGATGCTTTTGTTGAGCTGGCTGACAGCTGTGGTTACGCGGTGGCAGTGATGCCAGCCGCAAAAGGTTTGGTTCCGGAACACCATCCACATTTCTTAGGAACTTACTGGGGTGCAGTGAGCACGACCTTCTGTGCTGAAATTGTTGAATCTGCTGATGCCTACTTGTTTGCTGGACCAATTTTTAACGACTATAGCTCTGTTGGTTATTCTCTTCTTCTCAAGAAAGACAAAGTGATCATTGTCCAGCCTGATCGTGTGACAATTGGGAACGGACCTGCATTTGGTTGTGTTCTAATGAGGGATTTCCTTTCCGCATTAGCAAAGAGAGTAAAGCATAATCCAACTTCTTATGAGAATTATCATAGGATTTATGTTCCTGATGGACTTCCTCTCAAATGTAAGCCTAAGGAGGCATTAAGGGTGAACGTTCTATTTCAACACATTCAAAATATGCTGACTGGTGAGAGTGCTGTGATTGCTGAGACGGGGGACTCGTGGTTCAACTGTCAGAAGCTGAAATTGCCACAAGGATGCGGGTAAGATCAGAACAAATTGCTGTCATTTTGGTATTTATTTCCATCATCATATCAAATGAGTTGTTGATTGTCGTTTTTAGATATGAGTTCCAAATGCAGTATGGATCTATCGGTTGGTCTGTTGGTGCAACTCTTGGTTATGCACAAGCTGCACCAGAAAAACGGGTGATTGCCTGCATCGGTGATGGTAGCTTTCAGGTAATTGAAAATAGAGAAAGAATGAATTGTTTGCATTTCCCCGGTAACTTTATGACGAATGAAATATACTTGCAGATGACTGCTCAAGATATTTCAACAATGCTAAGGTGTGGGCAGAGGACCATTATCTTCTTGATAAACAATGGTGGTTATACAATTGAAGTTGAGATCCATGATGGACCTTACAATGTGATCAAGAATTGGAACTACACAGGATTAGTCGATGCAATCCATAACGGAGAAGGAAAATGTTGGACAACCAAGGTGAGTAGAAGTTCAAATTTTCAATCACGGTCTTTGTTTTTTACTCCGAATCTTGAATGGAAGGATATAAATATATTGAACGTCTCGACTGTATGTAGGTTTATTGTGAAGAAGAGTTGGTGGAAGCAATTGAAACAGCAAATGGAGCAAAGAAAGACTGTTTGTGTTTCATTGAAGTGATTGTCCACAAACATGACACTAGCAAAGAGCTACTTGAATGGGGTTCTAGGGTCTCAGCAGCTAATAGTCGTCCACCAAATCCACAGTAAAATGTTCAAAGAATATTGAATTTGCTGCAAAGAATTCTTGCAATTTGAGAGTTGCCACTATATGTTGTAATGTTTTCTTGTGATTTTCGCAGGAAGGGTTTGTATTCCACTAAGTATTGCTTTTGTTAACTTGTTCATCCATTAATGCCTTTTCCTTTGAAACTCTTCCTTCTTTTTTTTTCCTACGTATTCGTATTGATTTTGGTTCACCGTCACACTCATGCAAATATTTGTTATATTCGAAATCTAAAATGTTCTACCTGAGAACCAACGACCTTATTGGTCACGTCTAGCACCCGTTTAGGCTCAGGCCAGCAGTCCCGAATCCAATCATCGATTGATCTTGAAGTCTATGGCTGTCAAAAATAAGCCAAACTATAAGTAATCTGTCCAAAATTAAGAATTGAATTCTAAGATAATTTGAATTGAGTTCAATTTCAACGAATTATGATTTATCTATCAGTTTGTAACTTTTTTAAAAAAAAAAATTGAACTGAAATTTAGAAGTGTGCTAAAGGTCAAATTGGAAGGGTCAATGACCCAACTTGATTTTTAAACCCTTTGAGCCTAAAGTGAACTTAAATGGGTCAAAACCTAACCCAATTTCTATTTTCAACCCAAACAAGAGAGTCCAACCCAAAAACTAGTCTTTTAGTAAAAGATCCCCCCATTAGCTATAAGCCCACTAGCATTTCTCCTTTTAATCAATGAAGAAATTGACACATAACACAAGCATTTTTCTATGAAACGAAATCCAGGGATGGTCTTTAATTTTGCCTTAAATTAAATAAACAGTAACTATACCATCTGCAAAACTAGACCACTGGTAACTTCACTACAAATTACAACCAATATGATACTCCACGGAATCTCAACATGATTTTTCACAACTCATCAAGATTTTCTTCCTTGGTAATAATGTAATTGGGCTGAAAAACGAACATTAGTAAGAAAGTCTCCAACAAGTTCACAAAATTAATGGAAATTGTTCACATAAACTACCCAACAGCCTAAGCTATTTTTCGAATTTGTGTGTATATATATGCTGCTAGCAACTTCAAACAGCACAACATAGTGTCTAAACTCCATGACGTGCATCTTTACCTTTCTGAGAAAACTAAGCGACCATTTTGCAGCAAAGAAGCAGGAAAGGGTGCTTGACAAGAACCGATATGTGCTTTAAGACGAGGAATATTTGGATGTGCACTTCGACATCGATGACACCTTAGCTCCATAGAAAGGATATTCTCGTCCTTCAAAATGGCCTTCCCATTTTGACTAACTTCATCTATTACATCAACCGAATCCCGGAAGAAGGGGGAGTTGAATGAGTTCCAATGCTTCTTATTCTTAAGATGATTGGAATTGAAGTCTTGGCTTATCACATGAAGATGCAATTGACGCATTGAAGGAACCTACGTGGCAAAAACTTATTAAACTCCGTTTCAAGTCAAACTAGGCCATCCTTTTTTAAACGGAGGGAGTAATATTTGGAGATGGTTCAACGTACCGAATGATATCCAAGGCGAAATGTCAATGAATTGTTTTCACATAGAAGTTTTTCTGCCCACTTCAAGCCAACACTGTGCATTGTCTTTAATAAAGTGAGGTGCTCCTTCTTAACATCTTCAAGACTGTCAAGACCTTCAACACGTGCCAACACTAAGAGGTGTTTCTGAGCCTGCACGAGAAAATAAACCATATATGTATTTTTCAAATTCACAAGGGAGAAGGGCCAAAAAGCAGTGTGAGGGAGAGAAAGATAACCTTTGGATAAAGATCATTCAGTACTACAACATCATCTGACATCTCTATTATATTCTTATGCCTCTCAGGATGCATTGCAGTGTCATAAAGAGCCTGAACCCATGAGCCCCATGCCTTTCTTGACTGTCCACCAGTTTTTCCATCAACAGAACTTCCAACATTGGGGCCGAGTTCTTTCACAAAGCTTTTAAACTTCTTGTTCATGTCTGTTTCACAGACAGCTTCACGCTTGGCTTTCTGATCACCACTTCTAGAACCTTGCTCTAGTTGAACTTCTCCTTTAAATTCTTTGTCGAACTTATCCTTACATGACTCTTCTTGAGTCCTAACTATAGATGCAAAACCATCAAAGAGGGATGAGTAAGCTTCTCGGAGTATTTTACAGCCCTTGATGTAGTCATTGTCGAGACAGTTTGGTCTTTGGGGATTCATATTTGGTCCAAGTACATGTATGACATGAGTAACTCCTTCCCCACTAAACAAGGGAGAGGAGGAAGGAAGAGGGACAACAATAGCTTTTCCAGAACTAAGAGATCCAGCTTTAGCTTTGGTTGCAGTTTCAAGAATGGGACCAGCAGCACTAAATATAGCAGCATTTACGCCTCCACCTCCTGGTTTTAGTCGCCTGAACAAAGTTGGCTCTTAGATGAGACGTAAAAAATTAACAACACATAATATCTGTGCAAGATAATACTTAAGGTGAAAACACGGGAAAGAGTGTGTAGACAGAATATTGTATTAAAACGAGTTGGTGAGATTACAATTAATTTGTATCAAGGACCTGCGGGACATTGTAAGGAAATTGATCTATCCGCAAGATTTTCTAGCACCCTGCTATTTTAATGGATTGCATGCACACAACTCATCATCAATACCACGCGTGTGTACCAAATTGACTCATGAATCATGAAAGTAGATTTCTGCTGGATATATAAATCCTCCATATTGCACCTCTGGCAAAAGAAGGTTATTTCAGGCACAAGGCTACACACTGTTCCATTTGTTTAACATGCCATCAACCAGGCTTAAAACTGTTTGTCATTTGAAAAATAGCACTTCATCTCTCGGAATACTTTCTTTTGCATCCAAACTTAAAGGTACAATTTGGAGGCTCCGAAAAGATGGCGTACAATTGAATTTAATGTATTACCACTTGATCTACCTCACGACTTTCTTGTCACTAAACAAAATCTCCACAAGAGAACATTCAAGCAGAAAGAAAAATGGAAGTTTCTGGTAAGCCTTTTGCATAATTACATCAAGTTTCTCATTTTCACTAGCACAGTATCATGGTACAGAGAATTACCAGTTAGTGGCATTAGCAATCACGTTGCAGTGCAAACCTCCTTCTGAGTACAGTTTAGTTATATTCCCGACAAACGTAAAGAACTTTTTGGAGTCGATGTTCTTCTCTGCAGCTTTATCCCTGACAAGGGACAATATTTTTGAATGCTGAGATAAATCCACCAAGACAAGCCTAGCATTCCCAAGTTTATTTACATATTCCTCGACCTTTTCCACTATTATATCTGATGCTTTTTCAAGATTGAAATGGAAATCTGCTGTAGAAATAGATGGAAATGCAAGTGTTGGGGCATTTTCTAAAGAAATGCTACTGCCAACAGATGCCATTTTCGGTTCTTCACAGCTTTCTAGTACTTGGTTGGAGTCCTTCTCCTTGGTGGCATGAGAAAGAGTATTGTCCCGAGAGACATTCATCACAGCATCAGAACATCCAGGAGGATCCTTTTTTTTGAGAAACTTCATTATACCAAGTTGGACTTTGGCATCTGAGGTTTTCTGGCCGAAAAAGCCTGGTGGAAGTTTATCTGATGGACCAAGTGAAGTGTACGTATTGATAGCACCTTGAACATCTTTTTCATCTTGGCAAACTGTAATTCTATCATACCCTTCATTCAGCTTAGGCAACTCTTTCTTTTGCAGCATCCTATTCACAACTGCAGCAGCTTTCCCACCTTGCAAATTTCCCTCATGCTCTGTCCTCTTAACCGACCGAGAAATACAAAGCTTAGCTGGAAGATCAAGTGCCACAGCGTGTTTCTCAACTTGTGGACCGACAAGCTTCACAAAATCGGCTCGCTGTTCTCTATCTAAGTTGCATCTATCTATAAATACACTTTTTCCTTCCTTCAGCGCACTAGCTGCTCCAGTTAAACATTGCTTCTTTGTCCCAGCCTTACCATTCCCAATGGTATCCTACCATAGCAAATACAATTCACCAAAGTGAGACCGTAACATCACAATAGCAGTCCGTTGACATAGTATTCCATTTAATAATCGTTCCATAGAAGACAAACATGAACATACTTCAAATTCGAAGGAAAACATAACACATGTGAAATTGCAAAATTGGAACTAACCTGGCAAATACGAACCCAAGGCCTGGTAGAGACTCGCATAACAAGGTCACAAAAAGTGGACTTGCCACTTCCTGGAGCTCCTATCAGTATTACCATTACAGGTTTTGCTTTTCCTTCTTCATCCTTGCCTATTTTCAACAATCCTAAATTAGTCCCACCATTTCTCATTAGTATACAACAGAAAAAAGAAGAATGAATGAATGATTTACCTGCAGAATCAATCTCCATTGCATCCATGGTGTTATCAAACGTCAGTAAGTAATTGGATCGGTTGACATGAACGATTCGAATCTTGCCCGTGACACTTGCTAAGGGTTTAAAAAAGAAAACAAAAATGACAATGGGGGGTATGTTTGGTATAATGGAAAATATTTTTCCATAAAATTGACATCGATTTGATAGGATGTTAAAAAGAATTGAATACTTCTAAAATTTATAGTATAAAATATTTTTAAAAAAAAAAATATTTATGTTATTAAAAATTATTTTAATAACAATAAAATAAATATTTTAAAATTAAATTATTCTAAAGTAACTTTCTTTTGTAATGAGGTAAAAAAGGAAATATATAATATGAAACACAAATTGATTTACTTCATTACTATTTTATTCATTACTTTTCAATGGTGTGAATATGAATAATCAAGATTATTTTTCTTGTTATTTCTTTAAAAAAAATATTTTTACACTAAATAATACTTTTTCAATTTTAAATATATTTTAGTTAAATTATTCTTAAAAGTAAACATAAGCAAAAATTGTGAAATTGGTTTCATTATTCAAAACTACACATAAGAACACAAAATTGAATGAAATAATAGGAAAAGAAATGTTGCAGTAAAATATAAAAAATCTTGACGAATTATTAACAAAACATCCCATGCCTTTGAGATTTTATCTTAGATTACGAAAATATTATTTAGTGTAAAAATAATATATATAAATAAATATAAGAATAAATGAATAAATAAAAAATGATCCTAGCCGAGTACATTTATTTTGAATCAAGTGTTTGTGTGTACTTTTCATTTGTTTACGAATAAAACTCCACATTCAGGGTTGTTTTTACAACAATGCAATCCAAGCCATCATCTGAGTTGATGGCAACAGCAGTAAACTGCAACCTTTCCAATTTTATGCTTCTAAATCTAATATTTCTAATGATTTTCTTAACTAGCTCCGCCCCTGACTATAACTATGATCTGGAGATTTTTCCAGCTATGTTGGTTGGATCACACTGACAATCTCCATAAAATCCGTTGTAGCGCAATACTTCAGCAGTCTAAGACTGGATGCATTTTGTTCAACATGAAGGGGAAACTATAAAAATGTATGTCATTTCCAAAATTCAGGACTTCCAACAACTGACAGTTAGCCTGCGGTTATGGTTGAAGAACCAATATTGAAAATTGTATACATTCATCAAAGGAAATAACAATCATGTTCTGCGAGCTTATTAACTTGATTTTCCTTATCCTGTTGTTTATTTAAAACAAAACACTCCAAGAATAAACTCATTATTTATGGGTTTAATAATCACTTTCTTGAAAACCAAAGCAAGCATTTCTCCATATGCTTATCAAACCATTTCTTCACTGGCTTGTAAAACCACACAACTGAAATAGTATTTGCTGCCCCTACTATGTATCCAACTGCTGCAAAAATGAACTCCCATTCATCATCTGAGTCTGGTAGCGGAGTTGGTGGAGGCAGGGACTCTGAGGCTGAGCCATTGCTTTGACAACTGTTGTTGAGAGGGAGCCCGCATAGGCCACTGTTTCCTTCAAAGGAATCTGCTGAGAATGTTTGAAACTGATTAGTTGATGGAATTTTGCCAAACAATTTGTTGAACGATAAGTTCAAAGCTGCTAAGAATGTGAGACTTGCAAGCTCTGATGGGATCTCCCCGGACAGGTGGTTTGTTGACAGGTCTAGTGATTCAAGCATTTGTAGCTTCCCAATCGATTTTGGGATTGGTCCCTCAAGGGCATTGTGTGACAGATTCAGAACATAAAGTGAGCTGAGATTCCCGATAGCATCTGGTATCGCTCCTTGAAATCTATTGGAAGAGAAATCAATAGATGTGAAGACCCTGAGAATCTTCACAAGCTCCAGCTCCATGCCTTTGATGGTTAATGTCACTGTGTCCTGATAGTACAATTTACTTAGTTGTAAGAACTCATACTGGATATGATTGCGTCCTGTCTCCACGTAATCATCTGCAACCATCATTCCTCTCCAATTTGAAAAGAATTCTGCATTCAACACACCAGTGAAGTTGTTGGAAGCTATATCTATGATCTGGAGATTCTGCCAGCTATTTCTGGTTACATCACACATAAGATTTCCATAGAATTTATTGGAGCGCAAGACTAGGACCCTCAGACTGTTTGAGTTCCTCAACATGCATGGGAAATGATCAACAAGTCTGTTATTTCCAACATTCAGGACCTCCAACAACTTACAATTCACAATCGATTTTGGCAGCCTGCCTTGTAAGTTATTCGCACTGAGGTCTAATGTTTGTAGAGCACAACCAATTGAAAATGAATCTGGTATAACACCATTGAGTTTATTGTTCCCAAGATTCAGCACTCCAAGTTTTGTACTATATTCCAGTAGACATGGTGGTATTGTTCCACTCAAGGCATTGTTAGAGAAATCAAGAACTTGAAGGTAGCTGCAGTTGCATATGGATTCAGGAATTATTCCAGTAATGCCATTGTTTGCTACCGAGAAAAAGGAGGCAAAACCAAGAGACTTTCCAATATCTGTTGGGATGGAATTGTTTAAATTATTGCTAGAGTAGTCCACATAGATGGCAGTGCAAGGTGGTATTAGTAAGTCACCTTTTAAACGGTTGGAATGCAAATCAAGGACTACAAGATTGCTGGAAGCAGTGTAAGGCTGTTCCACGTACTCCAGCTGATTGAATGAAAGATTCAGGTGGGTGAGACCTCCACCACCAATTCCCCAGATCCAATTTGGTATTGCCCCCAATATTTGGTTGTCTGAAAGGTCTAAGTGCATCATCCATGACTGATTCTTGAGATCGGGGAACTTTTGCAGCCGACAAGACGCTAATTTCAATATGTTCAACTGGGGAAATGTGAAAGAGGTTGAATTGCTGCTACTTGCATCAACAGTCAAGTTATTGTAAGAAAGCTCCAGTCTTGAAAGGTTGCTCAGCCTCCCAATGAGGTCAAGGGGCACTGTCCCTCTAAAGAAGTTGGAAGAAAGTGAGAGCACCTTAAGCCTTTCAATTTCAAACATGGACTTCGGAATCGATCCATTCAGGTGGTTGTTTGTCAAGTCAACTGTATCCAACGGAGAGGAGGATGCATTGCGAAATTCGTCGACTTGGCCAACAAATTGATTTCTGTAAAGAAAAAGCTGCTGCAACGAGGGGAGCTCAAATATATATGCAGGAAGGCTCCCGCTGAGTAAATTGTTCCCTAAATTAATGTGGACAAGCTCTGAGAGTCCTTCAAAATGAGCTCTAGACAAGAGACCAGTTAGACCATTACGTGAAAGGTCTAAGTAGGTGAGTTTCTTGGACAGTCGAAAATATGGGATAGAACCAGTGAAATTGTTGAAGGAGAAATCCAAATAACCAAGATTTCTAAGGTTTGCCATTGTGGAAGGTATTGATCCATAGAAATTGCAATTAGAAAGCTCTAACCTGGATAGATTTTGATGGTTCGAAATGGACTCTGGTAATGAACCGGAAAAGTTGGTGTAGCTTAGTGATATCCTCCTCAGAGATCCATTTCGGAAAAAAATTGGAATACTACCACGAAGCAACTTGTTAATTGACAAGTCCAAACTCTCTAAAACTGATACCTGAAAGATTCTTTCAGGAAATGTTCCCTGTAGATTACAAGAGCCCAGGGTCAATGTAGTCAAGTTCGAGAAATTGGCAAAATATTCAGGAACTGTGCTAGAGAGATTGTTCTGGTCAAGTTGGACAAAAGAGAGAAAGTGAAGCTTAGAAAGTGATTCATCCAAAGGGCCTGAAATTTGACAATCACGCAAGCTCAAAACGGTCAAGTTAGGCAAATGTAAAGATAAAGATTGACACCACTCAGTCCTCTGAGACGAAAGATCAACCCCATCAAGGTAAAGCTCTCTAAGCTCTGTTGAGTTCTCAATGAAATGACTCAAATTGGGATTCTCAAGTTTAAGTGGCTGATCAAAAAAAGGGAGAATAGTTGAGAGATCAAGAGTAACTAGCCTTGTTAATCTTGATAATGTTATAGGAATTTGCCCGACAAAACCAGCATTGGATAAATTCAGGTACTTCAAGTTTGTGAGGTTGGCTATACCAACTGGTATGCCAACATTGAACATGTTGTCAGCCAAATTTAGGCTCTCAAGATATTGAAGACTGAAAAGTGCACTAGAATTCTCAATTCCACTAGAAATAGTCTCATCATCCAGTTCCAAAGCGATCACATGACCAAAGAGATTGCATGTAACCCCATTCCAATTGCAACATTCACTTGTCATGTCGTTCCATTTTGCCAATTTCTTTGACAAAGTAGAATCATATTGGAGGCTTCCCTTAAACTGCAGCAACAATGACTTTTGATCGTCAAGGCATTGAGAGGAAACCAAGAAAATGTGGTATCCTGATAAGATTTGAAACGAGGGAATCAAGAGAAGCCATAGGAAGTACAGAGTTGCCATCATTTTCATGCAACTTGTTAGCTTGAATATGACTCAGTTATGCAGTTCGAAGGAACTTAAAAACTTGTTTGTTGTTAGCCCTTTTGGTTCATTCTGTGGAAGACTTTGAAGTCTCCTCTTTGGTCTTGCTTCATTTATGAAATTGTTAATATGATTGGAATTGTATGGTTAGAATTTTCATATCTAAGTACTACTGTGATACATTTCTGACTTTTTAAAAACTTGAATCTACCAAAAGACCAGAGGAAGAGAAAAATTTAGGAGACTTCCACTAGAGTCAACAAAAAAAAAATAGCACTAGCCAAACTGGGGCTGGTTTAGTTGGAGACCAAAAATTTAAAAAAAAAAGATGTAGAAATTCCACAAGAAAAAATTAGAAGAAGAAGAACATTCAACCGTGTAGAAAAATAGTAGGCTTATTTCTTTCTTCTTTGTTTTAATTTCTCTGTTTAATCATTTCTCAATTTGTATATGTCGTCATCTTTGAGTAAAGGTCATGCTAATCTTTTGTGTATCGTTTCAATTTTATTGGATATTTCCGAAAGGTTGTAATTGTAACTACAGAAGTTGTTTGAGAATTCTAACTTTAGGATAGAAAGAGAAAAATATTGCAAAACATGTTTCCTTTTTTTAAAACACTGGTGTGGGAAGCATTTATAAGGGTCCTTACTTACCATTAAGCCAACAATCAATTTTATTGGTGGTTCATAAATTAATATACATATATATTTATTTAACCGGATAGCAAAACACTTATAGGAAGGATGATTTATTTTTCTACTCGAGTGCTTGTTATTCCACTCTTTTTTTCTACTTTTAATTAATGTTGTGTTTAGTACGATATTTTACATAACTACTATAATGTAATTTAGTGTATTTGATCATCAACAATCTGTCATTTTCTGGGTAAGGCTTATGTTCTATCAACAGTCAACTAAATGATCACTTTCAAGTGTGAAAGGAGATATTTTTATAAATATGATGAAAATTAATTACCTCATTTATGGCCTATATATGAGTGGAAGTTATTTTGATTTATACCTTTAACTTAAATTTACTGTTTAATATTTTTTATATACACACAAAGTATAATTTTAATCACGTATAAAAAATGCGAAAAAATAATTATGTATTTGTAGAGATTGAATTACCTCCTAGTCTCCTCGTTTGATGTTAGCCCTTTTGGTTCATTGTGTAGAAGACTCTGAAGATTCTCATTCATTGACTCCTGCACAACACTTGTGGAAGTCTCCTCTTTGGTCTTGCTTCATTCATGAAAATGATACACCGGTTTAGAATAAATTTGTCATAGTGTAATTTTTCGTTGAAAAGGGTTCAGATGAATCATAGCCTCCGCTTTAGCGAATAACTCCGTATATTGAATTATTTTTCATGTTGACAGGGGACTGCTGAAATTGCAAGTTTTTGTTAGTTAATCTATGGATTTCTGCAAAACATTGAGTAAGTCAACAAAAAGACATACCAAAAAAAAAATCAATCACGTAGAAAACTAGTAGGCTAATTTCTTTCTTTTTTTAAAAATAAATTAAACAATTTCTCAATTCGTGTATGTCATTCTTGAGTAAAAGTCACACTAATTTTCTTTATATCGTTTCAACTTTATTGAATATCCGAAAAAACCAGTTATTGCTTTCTAATTAGTATTTTTATAATTGCAAGGTATTGTTGCACGCCAAACATCTTTATATACAACAACCCCTTACTTAGTATTAGGAAAAAGAACAAAATTGATTTTCACCTATATTATTGAGATTCACATGCATAAGAAAAAAATAACAAAACACCAACTTCAGCTAGGAGGACCCATAAAAATTGCTATAATTTTTTCTATTTTATTCAGTTTTCTATGCTCGGAATTTTAAACTTATTAAAATGACGTAGAATATTACTTAAAACGATAACAACCAACTCTCTGTCTCACCTATTAAATTCAATTTTATCGGCTGAAGCATAATTGGAACATGTTTGGTAGAACACAATTAGTCTATATAATCATTATAAAATATTTATATAATTACGTTATTCAAGTTCGTTACAATCCAATCAAACTTATTATTTATTTTTATAATAAGTTTACTTATTTAATTTTATCACACCTATAAAATTAATTAACATTTTCCCGTTCTGAATAGCAAAACAACTTGGCATATTATTTTTCTCTTAGAATTTTCTTATTTTTCCTTCTCCGATATTATATCGTAAATTATTATGTGATACCCTTTACATGTAAATTCATTTTAAAAAGGATATATTTTTATTTTTAAAATTTTTTATTTCATCCTTAGATATTCTATAATTTGGTTGGAATCAAGAATAAGTTATCTTCTATATGAGTAACTTGTTCCATCACTAAGATATAAATATTGAATAAATTATTCAAGATTTATTAAACATCCAACCAAACAAAGAATAATTCTCGAGATTATTATATCTTTATACTTAACACTAAATAACTACGTAAGTAATATTATAATATTAATATATATTTATTTTTAAAAAAAATCTTAAATTTCGCGAATTTCGTGTCATCATAACCTTTTTCTAGTAGGTAGGGTCAGCCACAATTTTCTAAAGAAGATGGTTGGCTGTCTGGCAATTGCTTCCTTTAAAGAAATGCGTAATTTCCCTATTTTTGAAAATGGACTGCTATTGACTTTTTATCGTCAAGTTTCTATTTTTAATAAATATATAAAAAAATATTTTCTAACAATTATTTCAATTATTACAAATCACTCCTGTCCATACCTCTTCTTCAATTTATTATTCATCTATATATTCTTACTGTTACAATAGGTACATTTTTAATTTTATTAATAATATCAATTTACTAATCAAAATAGGAAAAAAGACAAAAATAAATAAATATGGTGAATGATTACAAGTGCTACTAAGATTTTTTTTTAAAAAAAACACACACACAAGTCACATCTGTTCATGGTATGAAATCAACACAGTTCTTGTTTTTGTTTAATATTATTGTTGGAGTATTAAAAATACTTATTTTGGACCAATGGTGAAATATATAAGTAGTAATCAAAACCTTGCATGTGAGAGAATCCCATGGTAAACAGCCAACCCCACACTTAGAATAGAAACTCCTAAATCATAAATATAAATTCAAACAAATGCAAAAAAAGTCATGGTTTTGATTAGTATTTTCTTTAAGTATATTCAAAGTCACCAAACCAATAAACAAATAGGCCCGACATAAAAACGCGTAGAAAGAAACAATACAATCTGCAAATACATAAAATTAAACAACCAAGCACTTGTCATGTTTTTCTTTTGACCATTTCTTCCCCTCATTATTTATCTTCTTTTCTACCTTCTCCCTTCATTTCAATCCCAAAGTAGAAAAAACAACAAGTTTGATGGATTATAATTCCTCCAAGACTTAAGCAATGAGATTTTTACACTTTCTATGGATCTTCTTCATCATACCCTTTTTGCAAATTTTATTAGGTAATGAGATTTTATTGGTTTCCTCTCAATGTCTTGATGATCAAAAGTCATTGTTGCTGCAGTTGAAGGGCAGCTTCCAATATGATTCTACTTTGTCAAATAAATTGGCAAGATGGAACCACAACACAAGTGAATGTTGTAACTGGAATGGGGTTACATGTGACCTCTCTGGTCATGTGATTGCCTTGGAACTGGATGATGAGAAAATTTCTAGTGGAATTGAGAATGCAAGTGCTCTTTTCAGTCTTCAGTATCTTGAGAGGCTAAATTTGGCTTACAACAAGTTCAATGTTGGCATACCAGTTGGTATAGGCAACCTCACCAACTTGACGTACCTGAATTTATCCAATGCCGGTTTTGTTGGCCAAATTCCTATGATGTTATCAAGGTTAACAAGGCTAGTTACTCTTGATCTCTCAACTCTTTTCCCTGACTTTGCCCAGCCACTAAAACTAGAGAATCCCAATTTGAGTCATTTCATTGAGAACTCAACAGAGCTTAGAGAGCTTTACCTTGATGGGGTTGATCTCTCAGCTCAGAGGACTGAGTGGTGTCAATCTTTATCTTCATATTTGCCTAACTTGACTGTCTTGAGCTTGCGTACTTGTCGAATTTCAGGCCCTATTGATGAATCACTTTCTAAGCTTCACTTTCTCTCTTTCATCCGTCTTGACCAGAACAATCTCTCTACCACAGTTCCTGAATACTTTGCCAATTTCTCAAACTTGACTACCTTGACCCTCTCCTCTTGTAATCTGCAAGGAACATTTCCTAAAAGAATCTTTCAGGTACCAGTCTTAGAGTTTTTGGACTTGTCAACTAACAAATTGCTTAGTGGTAGTATTCCGATTTTTCCTCAAATTGGATCATTGAGGACGATATCACTAAGCTACACCAAGTTTTCTGGTTCATTACCAGACACCATTTCGAACCTTCAAAACCTATCCAGGTTAGAACTCTCCAACTGCAATTTCAGTGAACCAATACCTTCCACAATGGCGAACCTTACCAATCTTGTTTATTTAGATTTCTCCTTCAACAATTTCACTGGTTCCCTCCCATATTTCCAAGGGGCCAAGAAACTCATCTACTTGGACCTTTCACGTAATGGTCTAACTGGTCTCTTGTCTAGAGCTCATTTTGAAGGACTCTCAGAACTTGTCTACATTAATTTAGGGAACAATTCACTCAACGGGAGCCTTCCTGCATATATATTTGAGCTCCCCTCGTTGAAGCAGCTTTTTCTTTACAGCAATCAATTTGTTGGCCAAGTCGACGAATTTCGCAATGCATCCTCCTCTCCGTTGGATACAGTTGACTTGAGAAACAACCACCTGAATGGATCGATTCCCAAGTCCATGTTTGAAGTTGGGAGGCTTAAGGTCCTCTCACTTTCTTCCAACTTCTTTAGAGGGACAGTTCCCCTTGACCTCATTGGGAGGCTGAGCAACCTTTCAAGACTGGAGCTTTCTTACAATAACTTGACTGTTGATGCAAGTAGCAGCAATTCAACCTCTTTCACATTTCCCCAGTTGAACATATTGAAATTAGCGTCTTGTCGGCTGCAAAAGTTCCCCGATCTCAAGAATCAGTCAAGGATGATGCACTTAGACCTTTCAGACAACCAAATATTGGGGGCAATACCAAATTGGATCTGGGGAATTGGTGGTGGAGGTCTCGCCCACCTGAATCTTTCATTCAATCAGCTGGAGTACGTGGAACAGCCTTACACTGTTTCCAGCAATCTTGCAGTCCTTGATTTGCATTCCAACCGTTTAAAAGGTGACTTACTAATACCACCTTCCACTGCCATCTATGTGGACTACTCGAGCAATAATTTAAACAATTCCATCCCAACAGATATTGGAAGATCTCTTGGTTTTGCCTCCTTTTTCTCGGTAGCAAACAATAGCATCACTGGAATAATTCCTGAATCCATATGCAACGTCAGCTACCTTCAAGTTCTTGATTTCTCTAACAATGCCTTGAGTGGAACAATACCACCATGTCTACTGGAATATAGTCCAAAACTTGGAGTGCTGAATCTAGGGAACAATAGACTCCATGGTGTTATACCAGATTCATTTCCAATTGGTTGTGCTCTAATAACTTTAGACCTCAGCAGGAATATCTTTGAAGGGAAGCTACCAAAATCGCTTGTCAACTGCACGTTGTTGGAGGTCCTGAATGTTGGAAATAACAGTCTTGTTGATCGTTTCCCATGCATGTTGAGGAACTCAACCAGCCTGAAGGTCCTAGTCTTGCGCTCCAATAAATTCAATGGAAATCTTACGTGTAATATAACCAAACATAGCTGGAAGAATCTCCAGATCATAGATATAGCTTCCAACAATTTTACTGGTATGTTGAATGCAGAATGCTTTACAAATTGGAGAGGAATGATGGTTGCAAAAGATTACGTGGAGACAGGACGCAATCATATCCAGTATGAGTTCTTACAACTAAGTAACTTGTACTATCAGGATACAGTGACATTAATCATCAAAGGCATGGAGCTGGAGCTTGTGAAGATTCTTAGGGTCTTCACATCTATTGATTTCTCTTCCAATAGATTTCAAGGAAAGATACCAGATACTGTTGGGGATCTTAGCTCACTTTATGTTTTGAACCTGTCACACAATGCCCTCGAGGGACCAATTCCAAAATCAATTGGGAAGCTACAAATGCTTGAATCACTAGACCTGTCAACAAACCACCTGTCCGGGGAGATCCCCTCAGAGCTTTCAAGTCTCACATTCTTAGCAGTTTTGAACTTATCGTTCAACAATTTGTTTGGAAAAATCCCGCAAAGTAATCAATTTGAAACATTCCCAGCAGAATCCTTTGAAGGAAACAGAGGCCTATGCGGGCTTCCTCTTAACGTCATTTGCAAAAGCGATACTTCAGAGTTGAAACCAGCACCAAGTTCTCAAGATGACTCTTATGATTGGCAGTTCATATTTACGGGTGTGGGATATGGAGTAGGGGCAGCAATCTCCATTGCACCTCTGTTGTTTTACAAGCAAGGAAACAAATACTTTGACAAACATTTGGAGAGAATGCTTAAACTGATGTTTCCTAGATACTGGTTCAGTTACACCAGATTTGACCCTGGGAAGGTTGTGGCTGTGGAACACTATGAAGATGAGACCCCAGATGACACCGAAGATGACGATGAGGGGGGAAAAGAAGCATCTCTTGGGCGTTATTGTGTCTTCTGTAGTAAACTTGATTTTCAGAAAAATGAAGCAATGCATGATCCAAAATGCACTTGTCATATGTCATCATCCCCCAATTCTTTTCCTCCTACGCCGTCCTCTTCTTCACCTTTATTAGTCATATATCACAAAAAGTTTTGATTCTTAAGCTTCTTCATATCTGCACATTTGTAATCTGTATATAGTTACAGGTAGCACAGGATTGATCCAAAGCAAATTAATGTCTCTTTTGAAGTCATTTATTAATTATTATCTGTTATTGTTCAATATAGTTTAATTATGATGATCATTAATTCATTCAAACATGTACACCTACTAGACACACACTATGAACTTGAATCGAGCAAACAACTACATGCCCAATATATTCCCAAAAGTGAGGTCTGGGGACCGTAGAGTATTGCTGATAGACCCTCAGCTCAAAACAAAAACAGACTAAAGAAAGACGTAATGGAAATACAAGATACAATAGGTAATTACAAAACAAGAGATAGTAGCAGAACAATACTACAACCAAATAATACTACAAACGAACTACACGAAACAACATATACCAAAAAAATCAATGAACAAGAAACTACAAGTATAACACTAAGACTACTAGAAAGGGCACCAACACAATGCACTACTCCTACCTACTAGCATGCTACCCCTGATTTGTGTCATCTACACCTCCTATCTGAGGTCCTCAATAAGTCGCAACTGCTCCATGTCCTGTCTAACCACCTATCCCCAATACTCGATCGAGTAATTTGGAATTGTTGCATTATTAATAATGAAGCACAATAATCTTCATTACCAGTTTCACAGTGGTTCAGACATTTTACCGAACACCTAGTATTCAGTTTATTCAATTAAACTAGCACATTATACTGAATGAAGAGCTTAAAATTTCAATTGAACAACACGGCAAAAGAAGAAATTGGAAATTACCTGTGACTTGTCTGATCAATTTGCCATTCAAATCTTCAATTATTCAGAATAACTCTACATTGTTTCCCCTTCTCAAACAGGTTTAGTTTAGCTAAATACATTGAAAAACATAGTGTCAAGGATGAAAAGAGTTTTTAATATATGTATTACTCCGGTTAAAATTACACTTGCCTCTCGAAATCGTTTTTCAATTCTTTTTGTCATATTTGTCAAAGGATATTTTTATAAAATAAATATATATGTTATATATATATATATATATATATATATATATATATATATATTAAATAAGAGAAAAATATTGAAAATTTCACTCAACTCTATATAAATTATCAATTTCGTTTCTAAACTATTGATAGCTTTAAAAATAATATGTTACTTGACTAACTAAACTTAAATACACATCTGATTTGCTACATGATATAATAAGTGATCTCATATTCTTGTAGGAGCATGTATCTCTTAATAAAAAACCAAAAAATTATTGAAAATACTCTCCTTAACTTGGCAAATTTTTATGGGTGTAATTTACGCATATTGTAAGATCGGATTATATTTAAGTTCAGTTAATCAAATAAATTGGTGTTTTTTAAATGAATATATATAACTGATATACATATGTATTTGTATATCTAATGATTGAGATTGAGAGAGAGGAGAGAGACGATTGATCTTGGGAGAGACGAGTGAAAGAGGGTACAGAATGGAGAGAGACGAATTGTATTTGTATATTTGTCATATAATAATATATATGTATAATTTGTATTTATATATATTTAAATGAGGAGAGATACGAGAGAGAGGAGAAAGGTGCATATAACTACAACTCAAAAAAGGTTGTGAATGATAGTTAATTGGGAAAATTGTATATAATGACAAACTAATAAATTAAATTAATTGCTATATTCAACCTTTGATTTAATTGTGTCCCATATCAAACTCTTTGTCAGTTACATCTCTCCCTCAAACTCTCGCTCGCCACTCTCCTCTCTTGCTCCATCTCTCGCCCGCTTCCTCTCACTTTTATACAAACACAACTGTATAAAATCTGTTTCTATTTGTATAAAGCGAGAGAAAATTGTATAAATACATATATTTTTGTTCCACTCTCTCCTTTCTCCCAGATCTCGCTCGCCATCCTCTCCTCTCTCGCTTATACAAACAGAAACGAAATGTATAAATTGTGTTTCTGTTTGTATAAAGCGAGAGAAAATTGCATATACACATGCAAATACATATATTTTCGTCCTATACACTTATAATTATACAATAAAAATATTCCCTTGCCCATTTTCTTTTGCCTTTCTCACTTTCTCGTTTTGTATAAGTTCAAATTGTATATAATTTCTCTCTTTCTCGTTTTATACAATTCGATTCAATTGTATATTACCTGCACAAGTCTCTTTTACCTTTCTCTCTTTCTCATTTTATACAAATTCAAATTGTATATAATCGTTTTATACACTTAAAATTATACAATTCGTTTTTATACAATTCTCTGCCCAAGTCTCTTTCTCTTTCTCGTTTTATACAATTCGCTTCAATTGTATATGTATAGCGAATTATATATTTATATGTTTGCTATGGAGTGCAATTATGCAAATTTTGCTATAGCATACAAATATGAATTTTATGTTTGCTATATATAAAAATTGCCCTAATTAATTTACATTATACCTATGCTAACGAATTATATATATGTTTGATTATTTGCATAATTTCTCCTTTATAAAAGCACATTTCATAAGCAACTTTTAGCAGGCTTTCAATAGATTAAGGCCCATGTTTGAAGGTCCGTATAAAGGGGATAAACAAAGAAAAGAGCAAAGTCAGATGACCTTTGAATTCTCAGTTTACAATAACAAAGACGGTCTAGTCCCATATTGATTTGATTTTTTTAATTCGTCTAAAAATAGAATAGTACTTTACTATTAGAAGAAGAAATAAATAATTTAATCTTAAATTTTTTTAATTTTTTCGTAATCACATAAATGTCTAAGATTTAATTTAAGCCTACAAATTCTAAAAATTTATTTTTCTCAAAATAAAATAAAATTATGTCTGGTTAAACAATACATAAGGTGATAAGGGCATAGGGAATATATATACTATACTGTCCTACAATGGAAAATTCATATTATTTATAGAATATAATATAATCCGTTAATTAAATTACATTAATTACTACTGTATTATTTTTAAATAATTTAATTGTATAAAAGTATTAACTTATAAAATCTAATTGTCTTTTCATCTCCTTTTCTCTGTACATTAGATAAACTGAACTTCAAGATGGCCACTTCCACAAAAGTCAATTGATTAATTGATTAGTAGTACGTACTAGTCAAAAAACTTACAACATACTTGATAATATCAACTAATGACCAACACATATATAATTAATTACTACTTAAGTAGTAACTAATTAAAACTACGTACATACATTTTTCTAATTAAAAACTTAGGCAAACATAATAATAAACTTAACTATATATATCTAATTATAGTACATAAAAACATCACCAGAAATATTAGTTTCTTCAAACGGAAACTCAACTTGTTGAAAGGCATCGTTATCATAACTTTGTACCTGTTGCATTTGTTGATAGTCCATTGAACTAATATTATTTTTGTGTATATTCTGATCATCATCAACGAGAGGGTAATATCCAACCATTTCATGATTAATATCGACTAAATTAACCATCGTTTGGTGAAGCCAAATTTGTGTTTTGAGAAATTTGACATAGTGAATTGCTTCTTCTAACATAGTAACAGTGTCCATTTTAGAACCACCGGGGACTAAACTTTGTAAAATTTTAAAACGATCGCTTATTCTGTGCCTTCTTTCGCGAGCAGCTATGCTTTGTGGATCAGTTGATAGCTTCATAACTTTCTTTGGTGCTGACGAGTAAACTCTCTCTTTCTTTTCTTTCGAATTCATTTTGGTTGAAGAAGAAAAACAAGTAGTAGAATAATGTTGATGATGATGATCCATTGAGAGTTGTTTTATATTTTCCAAGGATGTGTTTATGATGTTGTTGTTATTTGCATGGTTTATATAGAGGAAAATCATTGCGTTAGGTACGTGGGGCATGAATGAAAAGATCTTGACTTCATTGACAACACAATGTAATTTCTATTTTTTATTTTTACACTGGCAGATCAATTAAATTATATAAAAATAATGTGTTTTTTAATAGGATATACGGATGTGTTGATTCACATATTTTAAATATCAAATCAAATTATTTATGTGAGATTTTTATATTTATAAAAAAAAATCAAATTAATAAAACTTGAGTTTTTTGGGTTGTTAGTGTTTTTTTCTCCAGATTTTTTTGCTAAAATATTCATACAAATATATAATTAATTTATGTTTCGAATATTTCTTTTAGTCCTATCAAAATAAACCATCTAACGTGTTTCTTAAAATCGGATTGATTTGATTTCGAATTAATTTATTTTTTAGCTAAATTCAAATCAATTCAAGTATAATCATTTTCTTTTCAATATCAAATCAAGTCACACCTAATTGATGTTTGTATTTTTTTATTTAACTAAATTTACGATTTAATTCGATTTCAAGTTGGATTTAGCAGGACTCCTATTTTTCTTATGTCATCAGTTTGATTTAAGGGGTTATAACTAATTCCTTTATAGTTTCAATTGTCATATTTTTTACTTTCTCTATTTTAATTTACTTTTCCAGATTTAATTTGACATGATTAAAAAAAAATATATTTTGGATCTTATTGTAATAGTGAAATTAGCAATTTAACAAAATACTAAGACATAGTACACATTATAATAAATTAAACTATTTATATGATAATACTCCTTTTGTGTTAATTTATATGATATATTATTTAAATTTTTAGAGTTATCTTTTTTTACCATAAAATTCATCGTACAATTTTCAAAAGTATTTGAAAATAAAATTTACGTATATGAGAACTACTTAAAATAATATTATAAATCACACAAATAATTGATACAATACAAATATTTAATAAGTCTGAAAAAATTAAATTTGAAAAGTATAATAACTTATTGTTACATTATATGTGTATAACTTTAATAAAAATGAGAAGATAGAGTTGTTGTCATGTGATTGGAGTCACCCAGATACGAGTAAAATATATGTACAATTTGTAGGGTCAATATTATAGGCCAGCCAAAAAGGTCTTCCATACAAAATTACCTAACATTTCTGATAGTACTTAAAAGGATTTCTATATACGCAACGATATATTGTAATTGGATGTTTAT